CCCCCACTTATGCTCTCTGTCAAATAAAGAAAATCTTAAAAAAAAAAAAGAGAGAGAGTAACAAAAAATGGGATATGAAATGGGAGCAGGAAGGATGACCAGAATCTCTTCAGGTCTGCTTGAAAGCCAAGCCTGTGGCCCCCTGAACCAGGCTGCTGCCCTCCCCCCCACCCCCCGCCCAGTGCCAGCACAGCCTTTGGTACTTCACAGTCAGTCCATAAGTGTTTGAAGGAATGAATGAGAAAACTATACCACATTTTACCAGGGACGCTTCCTCTCCAAAATGCAAAATCCTAACAAACATTTCTCCAGACCCTAGTCTTCTACTGATATGGAAGGAGACCCACAGAGGGGAGCAGCCACTTCCATTTGTTTTTTTCTTTTTTAAAGCAGGCTGCGCGCCCAGTGTGGGCCTGAACTCACGACCCCGAGATGGAGGGTCACACGCTCCACCGACTGAGCCAGCCAGGCGCCCCCAGCCACTTCCATTTGAATCCACATTTCCCTGCACACCTAGGCCAATCTCTGGCCCTCCTGGCAACTCTCCTGCCGGGCTCATTTTCCTCAGCTGGCCAATAACAAAATGCTGCCACAGGGTGGCGCCAAAAGAAGTCGAATGCAAAACTGAGCTGAAGCTCCAGGAGGAGGGGACGTGGGAACGAGGGGAGTCACCCTGTTGGCAGCGTCCACTTTGGCACAGACTGCATCCATGGCTGCTCGTTCCTCCAACCGCTTCTGCTTCTTCTCCTTCGCTTTGCTTGACTTCCTCTGCAACAGGGAAAAGCAAAGTTGGCTGGAAGGGCTGTGGCCGACCAAAGACTTGGCTTTCCCTTTGAGGAACCTTAGAGTCAGTTCCTGAGCCCGCAGGCCTGGCTCCAGCGGCAGCAACTTCCAATCCTGACTGCTGCACACTTGGCGGGGTGGGAAAGATGCAAGCGTTTTCTAGTCGTGAGAGCTCGGGAGCATCACCAGACTCCTCAGCTTCCTTGTCGGAAAGAGTACTGACCCTGAGGACTGCTGGGTCACTGTGAGGACCCAGTGAGAGCACACGACAATGCATGCAGGACAGCCTGGCCCCAGCAGGTGCCTAGTAAATATGCACTCATCCATTCCCTCCTAAGGAAGGAACAACTAATTTTAGACACATTCAGGGCAGGTTTCAAGGAGGAGACGGCATCTGAGGTAGCCGCTGAGAGCTGTTCTAAGGATGAGTTTATTCAAAGCCTTCTCAGTGTCTGCCAGCTTCCGGAGACAAAGATCTGGTCTGGGGGAGCCCCTCTGGGAGCTGGGTCCCCTTTCTAAGCTGAGACCACGGCACTCTGGCTTAAGAAGACAGAACTGTGCCCCAGAAGCGCTGCTCGGCCAAGGGCAACGAGCGGCAGGCACACTGCACACCTAGTATCTACAAGGGCGGAGTGAAGGGCCTCAAGGGGTTCACCTGGGGACAGAGGCCATACTGACACACGGTGCGCAAGGCCACGGTGCAGGGCACACAGCGGTGGGGGGGAGCAAAGGGCCAGTGTCTGTGCACAGAGGCACGCACGGCAAAGCACCCACAACTGCATACGGAGCAAATCCTATTTTAGGGCTCCCGTGGGGTTCTCTCAGGCCTACACGGGCCCTCTTGCCCTCCTGTAAAAAGTTAGGAACACAGGAAAAAGAGCCCACGTGCTGGAATCTGACAGACCTTACCCAAAACCTCTTCCTGCTCTTCAGAGTGGTGTTCGGGCAACACCCAGTCCTCTCTGTGTCTCCTTCCCTCGTCTGATGAATGAGGTGAGTGAGGCTCTCATCAAACCTCCTCTGAGGTGGGAGGCCGGGGACACTGACTCGGGCATGTGCTCCCAAGGAACACGGAAGCGGCCCATGCATCCCGAGTTGCTCGCCGCCCCCCACCCCCAAGCCAGCCCAAATCCCGAAGGCACCCAAAGGCACTGGCGGGATGGCTCTGCTTTCTTACCCACCTCACTGCCTCTTCTGACTCCACCTCTGGGTTTCCTGAGCTCACCAGAGAGGCTGGCCTCCCTACAACTGCACCTTAGCCCCGACGCTGGCACCAGCAAAGGGGGAGTCGAAAAACCAGATGCTGGAAAAGTTTCTCGGGATAATTCTACCCTCAGCTGTCCAAGGAATAACACTGCCTAACTCTCATTGCAAGCGACCAGGAAGCGAGAGGGATTGCTCTTCTAGGTGTAAACTCACCCAACACCAGCTATTTTATCCTGCTGAGCACTGTGCTGGAAGTCCAGCTAGATCCCATTCCTTACCTCCCTCAAGGAAGGAGCAAACAGAAGAGAACAGACTGTTTTCGTAACGCTAGGACTGGAGGGGACAGAACCAGCCCCTCTCGACCACACACAGGTTTTAGAGCACCCATCTTTTTCTCTGGGGATTCGAGTTTCAAAATAACACTGAGAGATACACTCAGCTCGCAAAGTACTTTGCAAACATCTGCTTCAATCCTCGGGGCAAAAACCAGCACCTCTGTTCCCATGAGGAAACTGAGGCTCAAAGGGATGGTGTGACTTGTTTAGTGTTCCCCCATGAGTAAATGGCAGAAGGGGACTTAATCCCGGGGGTTGGGCCTGTTGTTCCACCAGCCCTGCTGTCATCCCCCAATGGGAAGGCCGACATCAGTGTCAGAAGACCTTCCTTCTCAGTCCTGCCAAGATAAAGTCCAGAGCTCAGGAACCGTTAAGGTAGCAATTCATTTCTCACCACGCTTCTGGCTCGGTGACGGCCGATGCTCCAGCACAGTGCTGCCCCAGGCCCCACCTCTCCACTGAGGGAGGGCTAAGGAAACCCGAGACAGCCGGCCTCCAGGAAAGAACATGAGCCCTGGCATCACTCAGGCCAGGCCAGTGCTCCTCCCGCCGCCCCTGCATGACCTGTGAAAGCAAGGCCATCTCTGGGAAAATGGGGACACGAGTGAAAGGACAGGTCAGAGGTCACCTTTACAGTAGAGGCAAGCTCCCCTCCTCCACCCTGCACACTAGTTCTCTCCTCACACAATACAGAGCTGAAAAGATCAAAGGTGCTGGAAGGAAAGTGTGACTCCCGGGACCCAGAAAGCACTGAAACGTGGGTTCCCGCCACAGCATCTCATTTCTAAACCCACGAAGAAAGTAATTCCTAAGCACAAGCAGTAGGAGGGCCAACCCCAGGCCTCCAGGAGATTTATGGGCTCATTCATGCAAGGGAACAGGCCAGCCAGACAATCCTCAGAGTGAGGCTTGGGGCTGCCACGGTCCGAGACGGCAGATAATGAAAGAGACCCCTAAGTGCTTCGCTGCCTGCACATGGGGTATGTGGCAGGCTAAAGCAGGCCAGGGCAGACAGGCAGGGGCTCTCCCTCAAACCTAGCACACACTAGGAAAAGTGGTCTCCTACTGTTCCAATTAGCTTTGCCCTGCCTGGTGGAGGTAAGGCTATCCTGCAGGGACACAGGAAAATTCTCCTAATTAAAATGGGAAATAAGCACAGTGAACAGTAAAGCTCATTGTGGTTAAGTGTCTGTCCCAAGGGAGCTTTATATAATAAAAAGAGTGTAGGATTTTGAGTCAAGAGACTTGGATTTGATTCTCAGCTCTTCCACTTAGTAGCTGTGTGACTTTGGGCAAGTTAATCTCTTTTCAGCGAGTTACTTAGTTTCTCTGGATCTCAATCTCCTCATCAGTAAAAGGGGGCTAACAGTGCTTATACCTCAAAGGACTGCTGTGAGGACAAAATGATACAATGTACCAGATATAAAAAATAAGGACTTCTGTTTACAAGCATCCACTAGTGACACACTCTGCTAATGCTTTAATAAAGAGGCTTTATTTTACTGTTTATAGTAACAAGTTATGTGTGCCCACTTCTTTGATGAGAAAACTGAGGAACAGAGAGGTTAGAGAACTTTCAGGGTCATAGAGCCAGTGAAGAGAATTCTCAAAGAGGTCTCTCCCTACCACCCTCTCCCTCCACTCTACACCAGACTGTAACACTCCATGAGGGAGAGGTCACATTGGCTTCATTTGTCAATGTACACCCAGTGCTCAGCAAACAGTAGGTACTAAGTCCATAACTGTTGAGTGAATCATCCAAGATTCAAATCCAGGTCTGAACCCTAAAATCCACGCTTCTTCCACAACATCAACTACATGTATATAGCACTTTTTATAAAGTGTGACATAAGTGTTTTCACACGCAGCCGTGAAAGCCCTCCCCCTGCTATGCCTCTCGAAGTAGTATCCCACATGCAGTTAGGACTGCCAGGTCACACAGAGAAATTCAAAAACAAAAAGCACACAGATGGGGGCAGGAAGCACCTTTCAGAAAAGAGATTTGGCATCTCTTAAATTTTCAGTGTCAATACCTTCACCCCACAAAGTATCCAGGATCCAGAAAAAAACCTCCATTTTTGGTGAAGGGAGCCAGAGATCTACACTCTAATTCCTAAAAGACAACACATCTGTGGCAGCGAGGGTGAAAGAACTTTGGAGAGAAGCGTGTTCCATCTGATGCTACTCTCTCTTAGCCTGAGGTTATCTGTCAAATGGAGCAGGGCCCTCCCACAGATGGTGCTCACCACAAACACTGACCTTCCTGACACTGAGGTGGGGAGTCCACAGCCCCCATCCAGGAGGAATGAGGATAATGAGAGGGTTCCAGCATTGTTTCAGGGAGGAAGATTCAAGTTTCTCTTTTTTGCAGTGAGTTTTAGGCCAGAAGAGACTAGGCAGGGGCCGTTCTGAGAAACACATCTGTAGAGTATGAGTAATAACGTGGAGGCCCTAAAGGAAGCAAGGGTCGCAGTGTCTCTGAGTCTTGCTCTTTCAACTCAACCAATGAGGAAGTGTTGAACAAGAATGGCATGTTATGCTTCTTGTTTGCTGCCCAGTCTCTAGTGGCTGATGCTGGGTAGACACTCACCAACTGATACCAGGGACACAGATTTTTACCTCATTTCAACAAGAGTTGAGGTTTGGGACCTTTCACCAAAACCTGGGTTAAATGTGCCTAAGGTCTCCAGGCTCGATTTTCTACATACGAAGTACATAATACCCCAAATTCCTTGCTGAAACAAGATGAAAGTGTTTTGACGCAGATTACATAAAGTGCTTCGACATGGATTAGACGACTAGTTTTGTCCAACAAGTTGATCTGTTCAGTCAATAACTACTTGAGAGAAAATCTAGGTTAACAACAGGACGGACAAACCAACGGGTTAAAAAATAGCACAAATCTATTTTAGAGAACTACAATAAAAGTGAGAATACAAGCAAAAACAACAGCCACGATCTGCATCCACTACCTCATTTAATTCTCACATCTTTGGGGGGGGCGGGTATCATCACCCACATTACATAGAGGAAGAAATTCAAATTCAGAAAGGCCACGTCACTGGCACAGTATCATGCTGCTAACCAGGAAGATGGGGCTGGAACTGAGGTATCTCCGACTCCCAAATCAGGGCTTCCCAAAGGTGGTGAAAATTCCAGGTAAAAACTAATCTACACAGTACCAGGGAGGGCCAGTTCCATTTTCAGGAGAGTGACTGATACTACTCTAACTGGAACTCAGGAAGGTGGACTCACAGAAATATTTGAATAACTTCTGCCCAGCCCTCTATCGGCACATGCCAGGGAAGGGCGCACCTCCGGTCTGCCTCACACAGAACAGGTGGTCACTATCCATCTGCGGCTGAAGCCATTAGACAGCTCCCCCCCCCCCAAATCAATCCCCTCCCTGCTCACCTTCTGCACTGCTCCCCCATGCAAAGCCACCTGCAGCACTTAGACTACTAACGACCCAAGTAATAATCAAAACCACTCTGTTGCATCTGGGAGGCCTAGAGGGCAGGCCTCCGTTGGAAGGGAAGAGGGCGTTTTAGAAGGAGGAACCTGGAGGAGAGGTTTGGAAAGAGTGTAGGGGAACCGGCTTCACCGAGAATCCGGGTAGCGGGAAAAGCAGCCAGCGGCCGAGGGCTGGGGAGGCCCGAGGCAGGGTCTGGCCCCTGCTCACTGCCTGTGTGACCTTGGCTGGGAGCCTCTTCTCTGGGCCTCAGTTCCCTGCAAGCCAGGGGAGGCCTAGGATGTGGGAAGCCGTGAAGCAGGTGACAGCCAGGTGATGGGTGACCCCTGGGGGTGGGGGGTACCCCAGGGGCCGCGCGGGGCTTAAAGGGTGGCCAAGAGGATAACAGGTCAGCCAGGAAGGCAGGGGGGCGCGCGACGCGAGGGGCGGGGGACACCCAAAGGGGTGGGGCCCGGAGAAGGGGGCTCCCCAAGGGATCCCCGGGCTGCGCCGGGTGTGGGGACGCTTAGAATGTGGGAGTCGGGTCATGTGGGGGTTGGGGGGTCACGTGAGGCCGGAGGGGGTCGGGGGTCACGTGAGAGGGGGGTTCAAGGAACAATGGGGGCGCAGGGGGCGAGGGGAGTGGGGAGCGCTCCCGGCCCTCGCGTCTCCTCTCCCTGCCTCACTCACCCCCATGGCGGCAACGGCGGCGGCGGCCCTCAGCTCCTCCTTCCCACACTTGCCGGCAGGGAGGCGGCAACGGCGGCGGCAGCGGCACCGGCACCAGCGCGGCGGCGGGCCC